ATCAATACGCTAAAAGAAATACTAAACCAAGTTTATTATTTGACTAGGGCCTATTAATTTTTCATTCCGCTTGTTCACTTCAATTTTGCCCAGTAGCGTCATTAATGGGGGGGGGGGGGGAGGTGAGGGAATGCAGGAGCCCGTGAGACCCCTGAAAAACTTAAAATTTTTAATACCATAAAAAAGGTCATTTTGAAAATAATTTTTAAAAAAAATTTTGAGCCTCCTGAGCAGGGATGCGAAGCCAAATTATAACCGGGTTCTGTTCAAGGTAAAAAATTACGTGGGTTCGGTTTGGGTTCGGTTCAGGGGAATATTTTTGAGCCCAAGTTTGTTCCGGGTTCAGCTCGGGTTTAGGAATTCTTGAATTGATAAAATAAATTCTATATTTAAATAATAATTAATAAACAAACTAGACATAAATATAGTAATAAAATTTTTAATTTATTTATAGGCAAAATATATTTAAAAATATAAATATGTATCAATTTTTAAAATTTTATTTATACGTATTAACACAATATCTTCCAAGAGTTGTTCGCTCATCCTCGATCTATACAGTTAAAGAATGAATTACAAATATGAAAAAGATCTTCCAATGCTAATATTAAATATATTCATATGAAAATATGATAAATTTACTTGGGTTGCAGGAATAGCAAATAAGATTTTGGATAAAAATATAAATCAGAGTGCTGCAACTTAGCAGACTCCCAAAAATGCAAAATATTTATCTTCCTATCCAATCTTTTAAAATCGCCAAATTCAATCATTATCAACACTTTTCCAATAGTTGGCCGTCTTTTAAGTATTATATCTCGTCCTTCTTTAAGTAGTATTAATTTCTCTAAATCAGTCTATTCAATAACTTCATCCGAACCATTATCATCAGATAAAATGGGCGTGGATATAGGTTTAATCTTACTCTATAAATTAACAAAATACCTTTTCGCACAAATCTATTCATCATCATTGTAATATCTAAAAATTTTAAGGATTTATACTCTTTATTAAAAAATCCGAATACACTACATACATCCTTCACAGCTATTCGAGTCATTCTTTTTTTAAATACAATAATAACATAATCGTATCTCAGAAGGGAATTCAGCAAGGTGACCCCTTAGGCCCAGCCCTCTTTTACATCAGGATCCACAAGATTATCCAAGAAATTCATTTTAAATCTAACCTTACTTTAAATTCCTGGTATCTTGGTGACGACATTGTCTCAGGCAACCTCTTCTCAATCATGTCCATTCCCCTCATCATTGAGAATCTCTCTCATATAACTGGACTATCTCTTAATCTTCCCTAAACCTCCCAGCCCATCAATCATTTTTTTAATAAAAAATTATTTCAACATACCTAAAATCCTTTACGCCCTGAGATCCTCTCCGATCTTTACATGCCGTGACATGCTAGTTTCTCATGAAATCCAAATTAAGGGTCTTCTTGAAAACATATTAAACCTTAAATTTTCCAATTCACCTTGGCTTCAGGCCACTCTTCTCAGCAAGTCTGGTGGTATTGGTATCCGATCCCCGATACAACTTTCCCTCTCAGCCTTTATCTCATCTCATCTTGCTGCACAATCTATCATTGATATTGGGTTCACTCCTTCAGATACTGACCTCTTACAGGCCTCCACCATCTTGGACAGCAACTGCTCACCCACCCTTTGTCGTCCGGCTTCCAGAATGGCTCGAAGCCATTCTCAGTTCAAACCTTGGCCTCCTCTTGTCTGGAGAACGCCCTCCGCTTTGGCTGTAATGCCATGGTTCCCTCCATTTGCATCGACTGTGACCATCCCATCGAATCGAAAGCTTACCATCTCTTGCACTGCAAGTTTTCCCTTGGACGACAACCGCGCCATAAATCTATTAACAACATCTTCCTAGCTGCTCTAAAAGTTAATATCCCATCCACCCTCGAACCAGTGGGTCTCTCAAACGAAAACGCCATACGCCCCAATGGCATATCTCTCATTCCCTGGACTAATGGTCTTCCCCTAGCCTGGGACCATATCTGTGTTGATTTTGCCGCCAAGTTCAACCTCTCATTTTCTGCCATCGAAAAGGCCGAAATCCTAAGAAAAAACAGATATGCTTGCCTCATTAATACCGTGTTTATCCCTATCGTTACCAATACCCTAGGCATGTTCGGAAGTGATGCTCAATTTCATCAAAACTATAGGGGAAAAAAATGTGGCAGATCTCAGGGGACCCCAATGAAGGATTTTACCTTCTTCAGCAGATTTCCCTGGAAATCTGCCGGTCCAATTCTTTAAGCATTCACTCTTCTCTAGGATGATTTGTACCCTTTTTTAAACATTTTATAAAATTTTTTTTTATTCCATTTCTCATTTAAACATACATATTTTTTAATTCATTTTTTATATATCATTAGATTTTTTATATATATATTTTTAATTATAATTCGTAAATGAAAAATTTGTGAAAATTTGTTACTTAAATAAAATAATATATGTTCGAATGAGAAAAAAAAATTAAATTATTAATATTTAGATTTACAATTTTACAAATATTTTAATATATGATTTTAAACAATAAACTCTGAACCCGGTTGGTTGAACTCGGATTTAAAAAATTCTCCAGGTTCGGTTTGGGGTTTTGGAAATTCTATAAATGGGGCACAGGTTCTGTTTGAGTTCAGAATATTTTTTCAAAAACTTGGGTCTTCTTTTCATGGTTCGGTTTGATTGCCTACCCCTGAGATTGTAAAGGCTAATTCTTAGTCACTTTTTATTTCTTTTCTTAATTATAATTATTCTCTGCTTAACGATATTGTCTGTAAATTGATATAAATATATAAAAATTCTAGTGTTAATTCATAGCTGGATTGATCAAGTTGATTAAAATGTTTTTTGTAGAGATATAAAAAAACGGTTTTGTTAATCCTCATGGAAAATATAATCTACCAATTTTATTTGAAATTTTTCAATTTTACAATTATCTTAAAAATATAATCTAAATATCTGATTAGTAATTTTATATTATAACAATCATTTTATAACACTCAGTTTGTTATATAGAATTTATTATAAAATTAATTTTGAAATTTTTTTGAGTTATTTAAAATTAGATTATATAGATTTCCTGCATAATTTTAACCAACCATTATTAAGCGCTCATTCTTAGGTTTGATTCCAAATTTATATCAAAATTAAATGACCTAGTCGCAGGGATGTATTACCTATAGTTTAAGGGTAGATGATATAGAGCAGAGATATATTGGTACTACCTTTTTGATAATCGATCCCCCTCCCCTACCCCATCTCAATATTTTATTATTGATTTAGAGCCGTAAAAATGCCTTTCATTAACTTGTCCTATTATTTATTTTATTGTATGTTTATTTTTAATAATAAAGTTGAATTCCGTGACAAAATGTAGGAGGGGGATGTCACTATGGCTTAATGTAGGCCATAAAAAAAATTTATAAGAGAATTATTATTTTGGGCCCTAGATAATTGAAATTATTCGACCAACAACAAGGTATTGATGTATCTCTGCTACAAATATTAAATTAAAAAAACGGAGAGGGGTCAGAAACCCTGAAGCTTTTAATCCTATCAAAAACACAGGTGCGATCTTGTAATAGTTTAAAATTCTTACCTAATATCAAATTTGTTTCTGTAATATAGGCTACCTAAAATTAAGAAATTTCTCAAACTTGGCCTTTAATTGGAGACATAGATGTAAATTAGTTTGGATTTGTAAATGTGAGAGGGGCTTTAGTTTATATTGTTCACGATAAATTTATTTAGTATTTTTAGGCCCCCTTTTTGACAACTTTTTACTGGATTACATTTTTAAACACATTTGGTTTAAATTTTTATAAACTTATTTTCTTAAAATTTTCAATTATAGACATATAATATGAATATTATTAACTTTTACTTAGTTTTAAAAAATATATATTTTGTGACATTAAATTTATCTTTGGAGAGAAAGGGAAGGTTAGAAGATTATTTTTTAAGGATAAAATATTATATAAAAGGGTTAAATCTTGGCTCCTCCAATAATTGGACCCCTCAAGATTAAAAGGTGTCTTAATCAACTGGATCAATCAAGCGATCATAAGGGGAAATTATTTACCTATATTAAATAAAAAATTACTTATGATAACTCCTCTATAAAAAAGCATCCATATTTAAAAATAAGTAATACCTTGTTAATAAGTTAGTATGCCATAAAATTACCCCCCCCCCCCATCCTGCCCATTATATTTTAATTAGTGATTGAAAAGGTTTTACCAGCCCTCAAGTTTATAAAATTTATGAATCATTATTTTATTACTTCTCTTTTAATTCCAATCATAATATAAAATTATTATTTATCAGACCTGCAGAAGTATCATTTGCATGGCCAGGCAAAATTTTTTAAAAATATTATATTTATCTTTAGTTATAAGATATTAATGGCAATTTAAAATATTTTGTTTAAAATATATGGCTAATGTATTTATAAAAAAATTTATTTTAGGCCTGGCCCATGTACTTTTAAAAAATTAAAATACAGCCCTTCCCATCCAGGCCAGGCTTGCAGGTCACTGGTAATAATTTATCTTATTATGTGATGTCCAAAATTTAAGGAAATTCAATGTTTTGGCCTAATTTTTTTTATACGAAAAACATCTTATTCAATAGTTTTCTAATTATATTTTTAAATGCAGCCTCTTAAGATTTTACAAATTGATCAGATGTTATAAAGTACCTGTGACCTTAAAATTTCCTAAAAGTTATTAACTATCCTCTTTTGTGCATATCAACATGTTTAAATTAATCTATATTTATATTAGAAACTAATATATATACAAGCGCTTGAAGCTCAGATCAAATCAAAGGAATGAATTATCTATTTTATTAAAAATTGAATAAATTACTATAATAATGTCAACATATTTGATTTATATATATACTATAAATTACTACCATTATAAATAAGAATATCAATAAAAATTAATTGTAACAAAATTTATCAATCATTTAATAATCTCCTAAAATATAATTCCTTTTGTTTGTCTTCCTCTTGTTTTTGAATGACTGTCTTTATATTATTATAATGGTCTGATCCATTATTATTAATATTGTCAAGATTAGAAAAATTATTATGAAGTGTTTCTTTAGTAGATTTTTTAATAGTTTGATAGCCAAAACCTTTTTTGTCTTGTTTAATTTTAGTTCTAATTGGGTACAATTTGCCTTGACCTTCAGGTCCTAAGCCCATTTCTGGATTCCATCCATTTTTCAATAATAATTGAAAACCTTTGTTGGATGCTGGCAAATGATAATGTGGATTTCTTTTACTTTCCTTATTTTTGTGCATTAAATGAACAATGGAGGCAATATGTTCATCCCATTTTGCATCAAAATCTAATGAAATATATTCATTGCAGAGAGAACAATATTTTGTTGCAAGTTTTTTAATGTTTTTATCAGTTTCATTTTTAGATGTATATAAAATTTTATTTGATTTATATTTTACATTAAGTGTTTGATAATGATTATCCAAGTATTCCATAAAACAATCGATATCAAATCCGACTTTATGAGCTACATTTAATACTATATATTCATCATTGTGTTTATGATCTATACTAGCTCCATTGTCAATAAGGAAAAAAACCATTTGATAATCGTGCTTTGATATAGCAGAGACTAAAGGAGTCCAACCATAGAAGTCTGATGTATTTATATCAAATCCTTTATTTATAAGTGTTATCATATTTAGTTCATCATGTTTATTTAGAAAATATAAAAACTCATTAAATTTTGAGAATTTCGCAGCGAACATTTTTTATTTATAATTAATATCCTTTAGGATGTCAGTATATGCTTATTTATGTTAAATAAAACTGTTAATAATTATATCCCTTTTTTGTTATGCACTTATAATATGTTAATTCTTATTTCTCTTTTCTTTCATATTAACCGATTCTGCCATTTATATGAATATAAATATGAAATTTACATTAGTTTATATTAAATATCGGCAAAAATATTTGGTGATACCACATAAGCGTAGCCAGGGGGGGGGGCAAGGGGAAATTCCCCCCCCCTTCAGAAATTTATCACTTTTTGTAAATATCATTTTTAGCTAATAAAAAATATCCCCCTTAGTCTTCCCCCCACTCCCTGACCCTCAAATATGTATGCATATATCCTAAATAATAATTTAAAAGAAAGAATGTAAAAGTTGATATTTTTTTATAAAACTATTCATCATAATTTATAGATTTTTGGGAAAATAAATTTATAAATATATAAAATGAACCAAAAATGTTTTTTAATAAATGGAATATAAGCCAAAGATAAGTCTTAAGACAGAAGTGAAATGTATTATAATTATTAATAATAGATACATAAAATATATCAAATATATTTTTTTATAAAGTGAGTAATTTTAATTTATTTATCTTAATAAAAATAAAATATAATTATAAAACTATTGATAAAATTAAATCATAGAAAAATATTAAAGCACAATACAAACAGTGGAATATTATATGTCGTAGATTTACAGTATATCTAATTATCAAATGACAATCAAGTAATTTTTACTAATATAGCGAATTATATATTTTACAGAAAACTATAAAATATTAATAAGGACATCAGAAAATATCTTTTAAAGACATTGTGGGATGAAAAATATAAAGATTAAATTTAAATATCATTTTTACTAAAATAAATAGATGGCATTGAATAATTGAATGCAAATTGTTGCTATATTTAATATCAAGAGCATTGATTAGTAAAATTTGTTAAATTATTAACTGTAATATAATCTCTAACTGTCAAATATGTCTGTAAAAGTGGAATTTTACCTAGTATTTTATAACTAATTCTATATAATAGAGTTAAATCAACTATATGTCTACTTACTTTTTATAAATAAATTTCCTATTCTTGTTTGGAATAAATCATTACCATGCTTTTATATTAATGTATATACAAGTAATTTATTATATTTTATATAAACTAATAAAAATATATTTCATATTTGTTCCAGGCTTATTATTTTTTTTTATTAAAATTTGTAAAAATATTTTATGACCATATACAGAATAAAGTAGTCTGGGGGCGAAGCCCCCAAGAATTTTTTAATTCCCCCCCCCCCCTTATGAAAATCCTGGCTACGCCTATGCTATACCAATACAATTCTGAAGAGTTTCTTTATAATATTTTTAAAAAAATGAATGAATATCTAGGCTGCCATTGAACATTTATTGCAATATTTAAAAATAATATTGGTTATATATAATTTATAAGAATTTATTTAATATGTCTTCACCTGAGATATAGATTACTCCATCTCCAACTAAGTAGATCAATTTTAAAAATTTATTATCAGTATATTAGAATTCTTACTTTATTTTTTTTAAAATTAAACAAAATATTTATACCTCAACACTTAATAATATAAAATACCATAATATTTTCCTCAAAAATTGTTTATTTTATTATTTTAAAACGGGAAATGGAATAAATCCAAATTTTATTTTTAATATTTTAAGAAATAATATACCATTTCCAAACAATTTCTTTTTAAATTCAAAAAAACTATTGAACATTAAATAATAATTACCAATTAATGTAAACAAGATAACAGACTAAAATGTTGTTTACAAATTTAAATATTCTATTTTGATGGAATGCATAAAAATTATAAAATTAATTTTCATTTTACAAAATATTATTTTTTTATAATAATACTAAAAAATGTTTTCTGTCAATTTCTGGCCTATTTGAAAATATGATATTCATGTTGTGTTTTTATTATCTTCACATTATCACTGGATCCTTTATTGGTGTGGTAAATCCAATTTTGAATTGGAAATTAATATATGTCTATAAAGATTATATTAAACAGAATCAAAAGGTAATTATCTTTATGATAATCTAAATATTGATTATACTTCCTGTAAATTCAGTTGGCTTTCTAAATATTCCCTTTGAGTATTAATCTACAATAATGTGGTTAAAGGCTAGGAAAGTTATTAATATGTAGCATAACATGCGCCCTTTTTCTGAATTAATTTTTTTTTTTGTGATTTTCTTTTCTACGTATGGATAATACTATTATATTTTATATTATTTAAAAAATAAGATATTCCAATCTTATTAATATCTAATGTTGATTAAAAAAATACTTTTTTTCATTATTAACATGGAAATGATAACTGTATTAATAAATTCTTTTTGAGAGGCCAGTAAATCTGATTCTTGTTACAATAGTACCACATAAATTTAAATTATAGAAATTTGATTTTTTACCATAATCATAATGACAATATAATGAAATTTTACTATTGTCAAATTTATTTGTAACAAACAAGTATGCCTTGTGTGCAGTCTTCTTGGTTTTGATAATTCTGGTTTCTTTAATTAATCCACTTCAGTTTACATGTGACTTTCCCCTTTGAATTTGTTTTTTGAGTTTGCTCCCCATTGTACGGAATTAATTAGTTAATTTTTTGTTAATACATGACACGGAAATTAATTAGATATAATAATATTTCTCATTAAGAATATATATAAGAACTTACTTTTTTTTCATCTCTTAAATATCTAACCAGGCGTCAGGTACATTAATATTAATATGGTTATAATTTCTTAACACTATCTTGCCTGTAACGGAACTAATAGATCCCCTCTTTCTTACTCCTCTCTTCTTTACTATGCTAGCTGACTACATAGTAGTACTGTCCACTATAATAAAACGGGTATACATCATGTAAGTGAATATACATTAGAGATCTGCAAAAGTAGACCCGGCCCGTACCCGGTTTTAATATTTTTTAAGAAAATTCAGGCCGGGTCGGGCCTTAAATTTTTTTTAAAATATATCTAAATTTATCAATTTTATGTTGAATTTTTTATGTAAAATAATAATATGTGATTTTATTTATAGAAAGTAGACGCCATATAACATGTATCGTTTATTTTGAGTAATTATAAGAATTAATTTCTATATTTAAATAAATTCGGGCCGGGCAAAACATTATTAAAAAAATTTCGGGCCGGGCCGGGCTTGAAAAATTAGGCCCGATGCAGATCACTTATATACATGGTGAACGCTACAACTCCTGAAGGGTAATGAAATTTCACTCGTGCAATTTCTGGCGTGGTAATGAATAAATGAATGAATATATATAACTTTAAATGAATTAATGTTTCAAAAAGTGATAAGATATCTCCTTTGGAGGGCTTATTCATATAAAATTTTTTAAATAAATAAAAATTAAATTATTAGTGCATAATCTTTTGTTCGAATTTAATTTAATTTATATGATCCTATTATATATTTATAAGCAAAAAATTTGGGGTTTCCATCATTTCTTAAAAATTTATACCGAAAAAAAGTCAGGTCATTTTAAAAAAATTTAAATATTCGATTTTTAAAATAATATTGTTAATAATAACTTATATTATCATAAAGTGCAAAAAATTGGGGTTTCCAGCATTTCCGAAAATAAAAGTAAATTCTCTGTTTAGTCTATTATATTTTTTAGATTTTTGTAATAAAAATTTTTATATTTTACAATATATTGTAGAAACTAACTTATCTAATTATGAAATGAAAAAAATCTGGGTTACCACTATTTCTTACCGAAAATTAAAGTCCATTCTCGGTTAAGTCATTTTTTTAAAAAAATATATAAATATTATATTTTTTATATAAGTTTGTTGATACCAACTTATATAATCATTAAAAGCAAAAAAATCAGGGTCTTTTTTTCTATCCTTTTCTTTAACATTTCGAAATTTTTTATATTTTAAAACAAATGGCAATGACATAATTTACTTTAATTTTCAGTGCAATTGTTAAAATGATGTAAACTCTAAATTTTTTGCTCTTTATGATTATATAAGTTAGTATCTACAATATTATTTAAAAAATAGAATATATAAATTTAAAAACAATGACTAAACTGAGAATGAACTTTTATTTTCAGTATAATTCTTAAAGAAATGGTAGAAACCCCGGATTTTTTGCATTTTATAATTATATATAGTATCTACAAAAAATAAGCCTTTTCTACTTCTCATCTTCCCCGACCATCCTCATAATTTCCTCTCCAGTTTCTTCTTGGAGGGCCAAAAACATTTCTTATGGAGCAAATACTCTCGAAAAATCATATTCTGGATCCACACTAGTAATTCAGTTCCATCTAATCACCGGTTCTACTTCCGATTAATTATCCATAAGTCCAGCACCTTCCATCCTCTACTCCCTGCATCTCCTATCTGCACTCTTCCCATCATCTCCATTTCGGACCCATTAAACTACCTCACTTGAATTTTCTCCCACTTATCACATTATTTAACCATAATCTCCTAAAATCTTCATATCCAATTATTGAGATAGTCCAGGTGTAAATAAATATCGACACCACCTTCTCATTTATAGTAAGCTACACTTTCGAATTCTGAAGATATACTCGGCCCTCTCTAACATCACTCTCTCACTACCATCTCATTTTCCTCTTCCCACTCCATTCTAAATGCCTCGACCTGAATTCTCTTTTATCACAAACATATAGTCATTTCATATCGCAACTCGCCCAATCCCCTTTTCGGCATCTGAAACACATGGTTTTACATTCGATATCTATTTATCCTTGCTCTGTCTCCTCCGCCATACTCCTCACATTGATAGCATTCGAACTTTCTTCCCTCTCTGGAAAGCCTACTCATGTATCTATTTTTCCAACTCTGCAATCCTTTCCCATCATAATTAATCTCTTTATCCAGACAATATGTTGAAATATAAATCTTTTCTCCGCATTCAAAACATTTGATATCTCTGTATTTCACCACAATGTGCCCATAATCCCCACCCGACAACACATTTATAACAAACACATTTCTGCCTCTCCTTCAATACTAAACAGTCGCGACACTTCTCGACGCTATCGTTAAACAGCCATACCTCTCTCATGATCATTTTCAGCATTATTAACCTATACTCTCATTATTTCCTGCACCGGTAACCACGTTACTCTACCCCATATATAATCCTCTCCATTATGTTCCTCCACCAATGATTACTACCCATGAAATCGGATACTTTTCTTTCTCCGTATTTTCCTACCAAAATATAAACTAATGACTACACAAGCATATCACTAATATAACCATTGCCCCCCAGTAGTGTAACTCCACGTACTTTGTTATTTTAAAACCATTGATTAAATTTTATAAAAATATTTAAATAAAATAATCCAAAGTATGTGTTAATTTATATCCAACTAATTTAATTTAGCACCAAATATTATTTATAAAAAATTTAAAATAAGCTTTACGAAAAATGTTTTAACTATTTTTAAAGTTAAACAATATATAATTAATAAAATCAACAGAAACGAAGCAATAGAACATAGCACTTTTTCACCTACTTTTAATCACCACTGCCACTTCACAATTTTTATACTACCACTTCCAATAACCACAACAAACTGCTTCAAAATTTTTTCACTACTACTTTAAATAACCACAGTGCTCTACAATATTTCCGAAAAATATATATTATCAAAAAATTTTTTTTTTACCTTACTTAGTCACGGTAACAACTTTAGGTTGTGACCACTTATTTGAAGAGGAAATTTATCGAGAAAGAATACCAATCAAATTTCTAGGTAAAATTAATCCAAATACTTTATTTCTAAGTATGCATCCAAAATATATTTATAAATTTTACAAGGATTTAAGCCAAATAAAGAATTAATTATCATTACAATTCGCTCCCATTTCATGAGGGGGGGGGGGGCTCATAATTGCAAAAAATAACAATTTAAAAATATTTTTCTTTAAAAATAAAAACCTAAAATCATATTTATTACTAAAAATAAAACTATAAATTTAAAATAACTAAAAAATCAAAATAATGATTTCACAAAAATCGAATTTATAAATCTAAATAATATAAATCGTGAATAAACCTGATTACTAGCGTATGCTCTGCCCAGATTTCTAAATTGCTAAATAAAGTTCTATGCCTCTTCTTAATATAATCTATATTAAAAAAAATTATTATTATATAGTTCTGCATTAACAATGCTCTAATTGATTTTTTGAATGAAATAATAAAAGGTAATCTTGTGAAGATTACTAAACCAAAATATAATATAATATTTTTATGCATAATTACAATACATATAGTAGCGTAGCTGTAAAGCATTCACTGTTAATATGGGGTATCTCGAGGTTATCAATATTACGCTATTAGTCTTCTTAAACATTAATACTTAAAGATGATAGGCGATGATATTTAGATTAAGGATATTATATATAAAAATATAGGTGTAGTGTTATGATAAAAATTAAATATTAAAGTTAAAAATATATAAATTCATTTTCCACTTTTCTACAAATTTCAAGATATGCTTGAAAAAATTGGTGTAAAAAATGAATTGGAAAATTTATATGTTTTAGATTGTCAAGATTTTCAATTTATTAAAAATATTAACATGAACATCGACAGAATTTACTTATTTAACATAGACATTTAAAAACAGCCCCTCACCCAGTAATTAAATATATGCGCAATTCTCAGGTATAGGCTTTTGCGTTGCCCAAACATAGACGTTTAAATGACAATCTTAGGAATGTTGTGCGTAAATGTAGAGGGCTCCTCATTTTTAATTTTGCCACAACATTCCAGTTAGATGGAATTGAGGAATACCTAGCGTAGCTCTGTTGAATCTTCCACGATAGAGGGCAAAAGCGCTATAAATAACGTATCACGTAAGGTTACTAAGTAAATAAATGTTAAACATTTTAGGTATATATATGACGGTTACTCTACTTGCTAAACAACTAGCAAAATTAATTAAACGCTCTACAATAAATCAATGTATAAAAATATAATATAATATTAATCAAAACTTAGCTTTCACTCTACTCAAACTCAAAGGAAAAATAAACATGATCCTTACTGGATTCGAACCCAGAACTATCGGATTGTAATACATGTACTAAACCGACTAGGTTATAGACGCTACTCGAAAGTATCCAAGTTTTTTGTATATAAAGATAAAATTACAACGCTATACATCATTACCCAAATATTTGGTCATAAACTTTAAAAACGACTTAAGCAAAAAATTTAGCTGGTGGTAATTGCAAAATTTTAAGCAGTTATCTGATCATTCAAACACGTCATTTGGTTATATTTGTTTGAATATATTAAGGAATGTTAAATGTTGTAATTTCGTAAAATATTTAAATCTACAATTAAATAAAATCAATCAAGCATCTAATTAATTGCTCATATTACAACACAACGGCATTATGTTAAAAAAACTGGTAATTTTTATTAGTTGAATCATTTGCCATCCTTAGAGCGTAATTGCCTGTGTTGTAGGGATCACAATACGCTAGATAGCCAAACGGAAGAGCCTTATAAGAATCATTGAACATTTTGACAAAGCTAGTTACCTGTTGTTAAGAATGAGAAGACGATTTATCATATTAAAGTTTATGCACTCGTTTCAAGGGAAGCATAAAAAAATTAATAATCCATATCCAAATTAGTTAAACTATTTGGAAAGGATTTGGCAAGGTAATTTTAAAATTTACTTTATTGATAAATCCATTATAGAAATAAGAAATTAATAATGTTCAAACCACATCAATTATTCTATTTATATAAAAACGTTCGAATCATTTGCATTAGAACTTAATTTACCCTTTTCTATTTTAATCAAGTTTTGTGAATATAAATTTTAAATAGGTTTCATCTATAAGCTCAATTGTGCAATCACAGTAAGCATTATAAATCTATTTTACATGAAATAATAAATGATTTAAAATTTAAATTACGATATTGCACTCATTATTAAATCACGCAAATAACAATTATGAGTTCGCGAAAATATGAATAAATGGTAAGGTGATTATATAAAACTTTACTCGTTATTATGGATTGGCTTAAATAATTACAAGCAAAACAAAATATTACAAATTAAGCTGTTTATGTTTAAATATACTATTTTTACTGATTCCTATTCTTTTAATATATTATATTCCATAGATAGCGTTAAAGTTGTTTAAATTTATAGCTTATTTCATATTTGAGCCGTTTAACTATCTGACTAGTTGGTGGGGTTTTCAATTAATTCATTCTATTTTACTTCTGAAACATGTTAAAACTTATGGCATATCCTTATAATTTTTTTGTTGAAAAGAAAATAGAAAAAGGGTGCAAAGTCGTTAATAATTTCATTAATAAAAAATAATATTTAATTTATATTATAACAAACAAGGGATGGGAATGCGTATAAGTTGAGTGGTCAGAATTAAGTGAAATATTTAAATTGAATCAAATGTGGTTTACCTGCAAAAATGTTTTTATAATATTCAATAAATTGTTTTTGAAAATTTAAAAGTAGAAGTAAAACTTAAGCGGTGAAGGTAACCAAACCTCAAAGCTTTAATAAAAATATAAATAATATTTGCACAATTGTAATTATTTTAAAAAAATAGAGAATGCCTTTTAATTTGATAAGAAAAATACAATCTAATGACTGAAAACTGATATTAAACATAGAATGGCTAATAAAATAAATAAATTTTTTATAATATTTTTTCCCGCTATTTTATACGATTTTTATAAGTAAATGACGAGTATCATCTTTTCTCCCGATTTTGCTAAACCCGTTTGAGGCTGAATAATTTGACCAATCAGGAATCTCAAAACTTTGGGAGCCTTCAGACATAGATGAGGAATGTAGATAACGCATCATATAAAGGGGTTTCCAATCCATCCCATTACCAATTACACGATTAGTTAAAGGCAAACATATGCTTGAGAATATATTCCTTAAAAATAGGGGAAAATTAGTAATTTAGGAGTTTTTTTTAAAAAACTTAAATTTATTGGAACCGAGAAATATTTTCCAGTTATTGATAAAGCCGTAATCGTATGGGTTGACGTATCGACAATTCTATAAATAAAATAATTTACCAATTTATTACAATAATTTATTTCTATCTTTTACTTGTTTCAGTTTTCATTCGCTTTATTATTATATAACTTTCGTTCCATTCTCATTTGAAACGAATTATCCAATTGGGATTTTAAAAAAATAGCGGATAATAATCAAAAGACTAAAATTCTTGAAATGAAGCCTTAAACTTATTCTATTCATTCAACCATTTCAGTCATAACTCGTATGGATTCTTTCACCCCTTCCCTTTTAAATAAATACACCAAGTATTTCGAGTGCTCCATCTAAATTTTAGTTAGAATTGTGTCTAATTCAATCTCAATAAAAAATTTTAAACATATTTTTTTCTCCTTCTCTTATATAATAATTTCATCTATAATTCTGTGAATTATTCAGTGGAATTATAATAGTTGTTATTTTAAGTATAATTTAATTCTTAAATGAATAAGTCATCTGTTAAAGATAGTTATTTAGCTTAGATCGTTTATATATCATTTTTAAATAAAATGATATTAGTTAATAAAGAATCCTGTAAAGTAGCTACTTAGCCTTTTATTCTCGGCCCAATATTTTATTAACAAAAATTAACAATTACATTTTTATTAATTTTTTAGTTAACCAAAAATGTGACGCGTCACTGTTATATTTTAAAAGTAATGTTAGCCTAATGACGTTGTTTTACATCTATTAGTTACAAATATTTTGTAAATTATTTAAGGGATAGACTAATCTTAATTTAAAGAAATGATGGTATCAATATTTTTTTGGAAGAGATCACTTAAAAAAATACAAATAAAGACGAGTTATTGAATACTGTTATAATCCAGTTACAAATTATCGATCGATTATTGATTAGTTTTTTTAACCTGACCAGGAAATGATTGGTTGAATTTTTTCAATTGAAACCTCCGATCACAGTTGAGATGAAATTCTATACTAGTCTCACCCCGGCTGATGAGAATGGAATGCCATATGAGCAAGATAACTTTTTTTAAAATATATAATAAGTTGCATAATGATACATAAATTTCACTTTTCCATGTATTTTATTCAGGGACCCGAACCGTTATTTATAATGGTTCAGTTTGTTTACTATTCAGTATGTAAAAAATTATAGTGGTTACGTTTTGGTTACGGTTCTTAAGAAAAGATTTACAATTCGGTTCGGTTCAGCTAATTATAAAGGTTCATTAAGGTTTCTTTTTCATTGAAGCAACACCATCGTCTTATTTATTTTTATTATAAGCATCAATGAATTATATATAAAAAAAATATATAAGATTCAAAATAACTCATTTTTAAATATATTATAAGTAATATATTTTCTAATATATGGATTCATATTTGTTTGTTGTGATGATAACACAAATTTTAGCCCCGAAAAGGCCCTTTCTACAGAAACTTGTGTTGCGGGAACCACCAGTACTATAAGAACAAGTTTATATAATTCTGGATATTCAAATTTTTTTATTCCTAAAATATAAAAACTGAAGCGGTTTGAACCGATTTAACCTTTTTTTATAAAGGTTCTTTTTATTCCCTCAAATAATAATTTTATCGGTTAGGTTACGGTTCTGATAGTTATAACGGTTTATCGGTTCGTTAAGGTTCACTCCGGGTCCCTAATTTTATTCATTTACTTAATTAATTAATATTAAAAGAAAAGATTTTTTTCCTTTAACTCTAATTTTTCGAGATTAATTTAATAAAACATTTATCAACTTGACAAAATGTTCCAAGATTTCTATATAATAATGAAGAATAAAAAAAGATATTTTTATGAATATGAAAATAAATAAATAAAAATTTGAGTCTATCCTTATTCCGAATTCCATATTTCCACAATTTTGATTCGATAATTATAAAGTAAAATTATATAAATTCAGATATTTCTTTCTTTTAAATAGGAAATATAAACTGTTTAAATGTAATTAACTAAAAGTAAATCGATATTTGTAAAATTCAAAAGGCTATTAATAATAAGTAGGGAGAAAATAAATTCGATTTAACTTTATATTAGAAGGGTGCAGAGTTGTTATCGTAAATTACTATATATTTGGTATAATATAGGATTTAAGTCATACTACTTATATTTAAAGTGTAATAAATAACTAATGGCCCAATACTTGTCCCAATCTAGGATTTTGTGTATAATGTTAACCTGTAAAAAAATTTGAAAGAAAAAAAAAACAATTTTAATTTTATAGCCATTTTAGGTTTTCTATTTTTGGTTTTTGGAAATAGACTTTTTTAAAATAAAATAAATTTTATATCATAATAAAGGGCTATTCTAGAGCTATTTAATAATATTTAAATTGTGTTTTTAACTTAATTACTTTTTGAGATATTTAAAATTAAATATAGCGTATTTTGGAATTTTCGCGTTTATAAAGATAATAAAATCTCATGAAGTAAGCCGATTTGAAAGTAAAATTTTACATTTTTATTAGTTAGTGTGTATACTACCAACATATAAATTTTTAAAAAAATCGAAGGGGGTAAGGTTGAGAATCGACTTTTTTTGGTTGATTTAATATGGAATACAACATAAATATGTAATAAAATTTCGAAAATTTTTAAACGATTGAACCTTTTAATATGTTAAAGTAAATTCTCGAATAATTCGTTTTTGGTTGAATGGAATAATCGTTTATTCGTATTGGGACAAAAAGAATAATTTACTATTAATATTCATTACTATTTATTTATTTGTTTCTGACTAGCCTTAATAAACATTATCATTTAGCTCAAAAAAATATTCAGAAACAGGAAAGCGATAATCATATTGCATAATATAAAGAATCGCATAATTTAACTTTAAGTTATAATCAAAAATCAGTTAAAATTAAAAAAAAGAAAATAAAAAATATGAAAATAAAGAATGAATAAAAGAAAATCAAAAATAATTATGAATAAAAATGAAAGTTTATAAATTATAATATTCTTACGTAAAGAAATTCCGACAGCTAGGGGTAAAAGAAATTCGATGGCTATTAGATTTCGGACGAGTTCGGATTCCCTCAATAATTCGTAGGTTACCTATAGGTAATTTTTTAAAATCTATTTTAAAATATTTTCCTACATATTTTTGATTTTTTCGTTAATTCTAAATCATTTTTAAAAAAAAAAATAATAATCAATAAATTGAAAATGAACAATAAATTTTTTTTATCTGAAAGGGGGAGGGATATATATTAGATTTTAAAAAATATTGCATATTTCCATTTCCATCAGATTTTCAGAAATCACATATTTCAATAGAATTCACCTGGAAATGGACTAGCGACTTAGAAATATGGATTAGGAAATAAATAAAAATATGCAATATATCGTAGCAAAATATAATACAAAAGTGGGGGGGGGGGCAGAATTTTTGTGAGGCAGGGTTCACAAATGTTTCACATAATTGGGACTGCGCTAAATTAATTCAAAACAAGAAAAGTAATTTTTTCGCAAATGAAAATTTCCCTCGGATAATTTATTTTAGATGAATAAAAAAAAATTTACTGAAACTTTCGCGACCTTAAATTTGTCATTTTATTTTAAATAAAATATATCTTATATATGATTTATGCGATAACTCGAAAATAACCTTTTTAATCTAAAAAAAATTTGATTCTTTGTAAAAGGCCAAATAAATATTTTTCCTTTATTTCATGGCTTGATTAACTAGGCAAGAAAAAAAAATCAGACGAGTCACTGAGTGGAAAGAATATCTACAAATTTAACTGTATTAGTAAATTAAAATTTTTATCTCAAAATCATATTTTTTTGATCCGATACAATAAAAACAAATTTAATGTTATTGTAACGGGCTGCCAAAAAATTGTAAAAATATCCTAAACAATTTTTATTTTTTTTTATCTTAGATTATTTTTGCGACAAATCAATCGTCATATATAATTCTTATCATTAAATAAAATAAACAACTTTCAATTTCTCAGTAACCAAAAATCGGTTCAAAACGCATTCATCTAAGATAACCATCTTTTGCATGATTATAGTAAAGTCAAAAATTATTAAGCTACGAAAAATAAGTGTTTTTTTTACTTCTTTAGGTGGCATATTTAGTTTTAAAATTCGATGTAAATTGAGATCAGAGAAAGTGCGGGTCACATTAAAATAGTTCGGAACAAATTGATACCCCCAAATCTTAATTTTTTTTATATAGATAATTTAAATTATGAGTGATGAAAAACATGGAATAAAAGGAAAAATAAATAATAGAAGTTGAAAATAATTAATTGAATTAAAGAAAGAAAACCATGGTGAGGAGACTTGTACACAAATTTTTTTTTTATAGTGCCAATTCAAAATGTCAAAAGAGAAATGATTCCTATCAGGTCTTTCAAGTAAATATAAATCTTATCTTTTAAAATTTCATTTTTTCAAACTCTGGTATACATTAAAATGACCATTAATTGTAATAATCATTTTAAAGTAAATTGTCGCGATTTAGAATAATAAGATTAGGTAAGAATAAAACATATCGGCCTTGGTATTGGGTCATCTACAATTTTTGACTACAGCTTTAACTTTGAAAAACCCATATTTTGTCGCTTCCGTTGTTGACGGTATACTGGCAGATATCTAAGACGCGCAAGGCCTAAGATTATAAATATTGAATGCTTTTTTTAATTATTGCTAAGTAGTATTAATTAAGAAAACTGGAAACGTTTACTGAAATAATTTTGAAAATGATGCCATTTTATTGGATCGGAAAATTTTATAATATAGGCCGATAATCGATATTTTAAAAAGATTCGGCCCGATCCGATAAAAAATATCGATGCATCTCTAGTGAATAATAATAAAGGATGTTTACTAATCAGTACATTGGTACAAACCCGTCTAAATAAAAATTAACACCCCATCAATCACTTTTAAAGTCTAGTCTTCATGTTAATAATAATAACATGAGAAGAAGAAGTATTCCTGGAAATAAAGAAAATAAAAGAAATAATTAATAAAAATAACTTTAAATTTAATTCATTAGTTTATTTGCAATTAATATACTATGCAAATCATCTTAAATTTTTGTGAGTTCAAAGAGCAGATGTAAAAAAGATACCCTTTTGGTCGCGCTAGTGCAATATAAAACCACCTTTTGATCTTTATATTTCTAAAGGAGTTGATATAGTAATGAAACCACAAGTATATTAAAATGCTTTCTTTTACATATAGGTGTGGAGGATCAGGATGTATTTTAATTATAAATTAGTATATTTATAAAATATTTTTAAATATATTTTTTTTTAACTACATCTATCTTCCTAATATTTATTTTAGCCCTAATAAATAATATTTATATTTCTTTTTATCTTTTTAATGTGCTATATTTAACTAATCACTACCAGAGACCTTCATGGGCCGGGTATGGGCCTAATTATTTATTTTCTAGCGGGCCTGGGTTTTTTGAAATTTTTTTAATTGGGCCGGGTTTGGGCCTAAATTTTTTTTCAAAATATTTTAAGGATATTTATTTGGATAAATATAACTAATCATTTATTCCATTTCCTAGACACCTTGGGAGAGTTTTAATTTTGTTTTTCTTTAAAATTGGAAATTGGTATACTTATTCCTGACATAACTGATTTAAAGTGTAAGACTATTAAAGGTAATTCCTACACTTAATTATATAAAATACCATGATATTTTTATTTAAAAATCACTTTTTTTTCATTCTTATAAAACTGGATCATATCTACTTCTTTAGTGTGACAAATCCAATATTATTTAGAAATTAAATATATAGCTATAAAGATGATACTTAAAATGATTAAGGTAATAATCTTTACAATAATTGAAATAAGGATTTTATATCATTTATAAATTCAGTTGGCACTATGTATTTCCTTTGTGTATTACACCAATGAGATTGAAGGCTAAGAAAGCTGTTAATATATAACATAACACCCTTTTTTCTGAACTAATTGATTTTTTGTGTATTTTCTTTTATATATGGGTATTATGTAATAATAATGAATGAATAGATTTATTTTGAATGATCAACAGATTTGACCTTTAATATAATAGAACAACTAATATTAAGAATATACAGATTTGATTTTTTATCATCTCACCATATTGCTAAAATTCATTATAAATTTTTTTGCTAAAATTCATTATGATTTTTTTCTGGCCAATAAATTTGCACCAAATAAATCTGCATTCTGTGCAATTTTTTTGCTAGTTCTGGCTTCTTTTATTATTTCACTACAACTTTACTTATGACTTTCTCCTCTGTAATAAATTGTAGTATTTATTTTCAATTTTTTTAGATATAATGAATAAAAATGAAATAGTTAAAAAATTACATTCTCAAGAATATAAATTATTTGAAAACAACTCACTGAAGAGCAAAGTCTGAGATTCTTTTAGTATAATAATAGACAATCATAAAAATAAAATTGGATATGTCCAATGTAAAACATGCCAAGACATACTTTCATATTCACAAAAAGTAGAATCATCCCATTTATCAAGGCATAATTGTAAACCAAATCCTAAAATTAAATTATCTTCTTTTTATCCAATTAAAAATGATAAAGCATCATATACAAGTGAAAAAAAGGAAGTTATCAATAGATGTGTAAAATTTTGTGCTGTAGATATTCGCCCATTTCAATGTATAGCTGGTAAAGGCTTTAAACATTTAGCACAATATTTTATTGAAGTTGGTTCAAAGAGGCGTTTGATTGATGTTGAAAATATTTGGCCAAGTCCTATAACTATATCAAGGCATATGAATGATATGAATAAAAATTTACACAAAAATATATTCCCAGAAGTATAAAATGCTTTATAAATTCTTTTTGTAGTGCGACAACTGATTTATACTCAGATAACTTTAAAAAGTATACATATATAACATTAACTCTTCACTACATAATTAAATGGTTAATAAAACGTGTTTTGTATACTTCTCTATTTTTAGAAGATAAAAAAACAAGTGAAAACATTCACAAAGAACTTGTTTCTAATTTTACAAAACTTGGATATGCTTCTGATGCATTTTATAAAATCACATTCACTGATCAAGGTATCAACTTGATAAAGGCTTTAGACCCATATAAACGATTAAACTGTTCTGCTCATCTCATTAACACTATTCTAAGAAATACCTTTTCTCTAAAATATATGCAAATATTTACACCCTTGTTATATAACCTCATTCTACAATGCAAAAACTAGATATTTTAAACAAAGTTATTATAACAATAATCTATCAAAATCACTTTGCCAAGATGTTGAAACAAGATGGAATTCAAAATTAAAAATGTTCAAAAGCATATATGAACAATATGAGAATATTTTAGATTCTTTACAGAAAAGATATATGGAATACAAGTTAAATGCTATTGATAAAAACGCATTGAAATCATTGTAATATTTTATATGATGCACATCAAAATAACAATGAAATTATAAAATTGAAATTAAGAGCTAAAGAATTTTTAATATCTAAATTTCAAATAGCTATTCTACACAAAATCGCAGCATTTTTAAGTTCAAAATTCTGCCAATTAAGAATGCTTAGGAAGAAGCATTAGATGTAAAAAAAATTCTGTTAGAGAGATAATGAAAGATTATTCGCAGTATCAACTTATACCTATATATATATATATGATCTGGATGAAGTACTTGACGCTGACCCTACTTTAAGGAATGCCACCAAAGCTACAAGTAACATATTTTTTCTAAATGTTTTAATCTATATAATATTTTTAGGTGCATTTTCAGATTTGGATGAAGTGCTTGATGGTGACCCTACTTTAAGGAATGCCACCAAAGCCATAAGTAACATATTTTTTCTAAATGTTTTAATCTATATAATATTTTTAGGTGCATCTCAGATCTGGATGAAGTGCAGGCCCCTACTTCAAAGAGTAATATCAGAGCTACAAGTAAATTATTCTTTATGAATCTTTTTAGCAATATAATATGTTTAGTTTCATTCTCATTAATGAATATGTCTTCATGGGAGGATGATAGAATGTTTACTAATGAGACTGATGCCGATGAGGTTAATTTATATTTGGATAATAAGCTCAAGGAGGATGATATCAATTATGATGATCATATCTTAGATTGGTGGAAAGAGCATGAAAAAATTTTGCTAATATTAGCAAGATTAGCAAAAAAAATTTATGCAATTTCATCATCAAATGCTTTGAATGAACGAAATTTTAGCACAATTGGAAGAGTTATCGAAGAGAGAAGGACAAATTTAAATAATGAAATTGTTGATAATATATAATTTTTAAATGATAATTTGAATATATAAATGAAAGTTTTGTTTATATCATTTATTAATATTATATATATATATATATATATATATACTAAATAAAATATTATATTTCCATTAGTATTACTTCAGCATAAGTATTCATAAAATAATTTAATGGGCTTGGGAAATTTTTTTAAACTTATCGTGGGCTTGGGATTTTTTTTAACATTAAATATAAGCCGGGCCGGGCTTTGGTCTAAAAAATTTTTTTACTGCGAGCCTGGGCTGGGCTTGGTCAAATAATTAAGGCCCATGAAGGTCTCTGGTCTATATATCACCATCATTAAATTTTAAAAAAATGTAAAGAGGGTGGAGTTGAATTTTCAGTTGATTTGATATAGAATACAACATATATAAATTAGTATATCTTTTGACATAAATTTGTATATTATACAAAATTATATTTTTAAGGTAAATTGTGTTTTATCATATTTTACATTAAATGAATGCAAGTTGAACTATACCATTTTATAATCCATTTACAAACCAATTATTATATTACGTTTTTATGCATGATTAGATATAGGTCTAATTTAAAATAAATTAATGATAATTTAAACCATTCTTATGAAAATAATTTTTCCTCTGACAATTAAATTGGCAATAAAATTCTATATTTTATTTTGAGTACATGTATCTTTTCAAATAGGATGGATTTTAAAAAATAAAAAAGGCAAATTAATTTAAATTTCATTAATAAATATAAACATACTTACAAACTCTGATACAATATAGTTAATGAAGTATGGATAAATGACAAAGGCTACATAAAGACATCCAGCAGCTGTGTATGCCATGAAAAGGTAAAAATATTTGTGATTATAGTGTCCCACACATGTATTTAGCCAAGCTATAAAAATGTATATTGCATATATCATCTAACTATATTAAATCTAATTAAATATTAGTTTAAAATAATATAGAGCAAAAATTTTAATTTAATTTTAGGTAACATAATTAAAATTTAATGTTTCCATTATCTCTTTAATTCAATTTTTGAAACAAATTTAATTTAAATATGTTTACGACAATGGTGATCCATCTTAAGCACACATTTTTTACAGAGTGAACAGTGATGTGCTCTCTCAGGTTTGATGTTATTGCATTTTTTGCAAGTGTTATAATCTATATTAGCATGTAACTTAAAAATAAATGTATAAATATATATTTTATAAATTTTATACTTTTGGAAGATAACCAGGGGATGTTTTAAGGGCTTTGTAGTAATAAAAAATGATCATGAATAAAAAATAATGGCCCAAAAGGAGTGAAGCAATAGAGTAATAAAATGGTCTTGATCTGAGAATTTCATTAAAAAAATATAAATAAAATATCACAACTATCCATGATATCAAAAGGATGACTAGAAATACAAGAATCTAGCATAAAATGTTATATTTAATAACTCTAATTATATTACCGGTCCCAAAAAGTTAGCGAATACATCCAAATATTTGAAAATAGCGTCTGAAATGCTATCTAATATAACTTTGTTTCCATAAACACCTTTTAACTTTTGTGTTAAGTAATTATATATCTTAATATGGTAAAACATATAGCGCAGAGGCCTTTTACAAAACATCGCATTTTTAAAAATATGAAGGAGTGCTTATAAAGTTACATTTATTTTATTTGCTGGAGTGTATAACGATTAACGTCAAATCAATAATAAAAAATTTGAAGATCCCCCTCAAAATTTTAATTTTTTTCAAAATACCCAATGTTGATAATGCTGGAAAAGGAAGGTAATTTTGATTATGTTAGCTAAAAAAAAGGTAATTTTAATAATATTATCTTAAAAAAAGGGATTCTTGAAAATGTTAGCTAAAAAAAGGAGGTAATTTTAATAATATTAGCTAAAGGAGGGTTGAGATTGTAAAGACTAGTGACACTCTTGCACCAATCATTTAATTGGAATTTATTATATTGTGATTTGAAAATATGCGAATTGATTTTTTAAAATAGGTGCTAATTTTGAAGAGGGGCGAGCTTTATTACCCAGAGAACCTAGCTAACCACACCCCTACCTATAAACCATGTTTTCTATATTGAAACCTTTCAACAGATTATTAGAATAGTAGTGAATTTTATCATATCAATGAGGTTTTTATGTGGGGAAATTATATTATGTTATCCAAAATATTGTTTTTCATCAGAATCATCAGAGATGTCACCAAAAGATAGTTTTATCTTATTTTTCAAATGAGTATTTATATTTAATAGAAGTATTATTTTTATTAATATTTAATTTCAGCGGCGCAGAGGCAGACACCACAGAGGCAGAGGTACTTTCGACAGATAGTAATCTTATATAAAATAGATATTATTGACCCAATAATATTTTAAACATTAAATTTTCTTTAAAAAAAATTTATAACGATCATATAAATCTTTATTTACTTATAGAATGAGGTCCACCATCAGCAATTAGTATTGATGAATGGCTCCATCTTTAGCCAGTTTTGAGCCGATTCTAATATGGCTAAACATTAGCTTTAAGCCAAAACTATCATCTATCATCTTAGATTCGATCGAGGTTTAACTTTAGAGGATAGTTTAATCTTGAAAAAAAGTCAACTTGGGTTTCAAGGTCAAGCGAATTTTTTCGACTTTAGGAATGAGGTCAGCGTCTACATGAGCGGGAGGGGTAGGAACAGTTTGCATCCTATTTTTACAAAATTTATTGCTGTAAAAATTAATACTTTTATTATAGAATTATTATAATACAATTCATCGACCAAATCTATATATTGCAAACAATCGTACACATTGTTTTCCAAATAAAACTTTCTGTAATCCTTTTAAATGTAATTTAAGAGGTTTAGATATTTCAGCAAGCTCATAATGCCATAATTAATTAATTGTAAATAATGGAGGTTTTAATTGAATTTATTATATAAAAAATAAATTCTGTATATTCAGAAAATATCGATAGTTGGTAGTAGAGATAGATTAATTTAAGTTATCCTAGATAAATTCTCTGAAAAGAGTATCAATAAATTAAAAAGGTGAAAATAATAATAAAAGACACCGCCGCCGAAGGCGGCATAATTTTTTTATGGGGGTAGGCAAAGGTTTTTGAAGGGGGTTTGCATCCAGTGAAAATCCTGTCATGTAGACGCCGAATGAGGTGATTTAAAAAACAATATTGGCCAGATATAATATAATCTTAACAATTTTAAATATCTAAAAAGGAAGTTCTTTCAAATAGTAAAAGAAATTTCTGATAGGTTATATAAAATCGAAAATTAAAGAGGGGAAGGGAAGGGTTTATAAATTCTTTTATAAAAACGAAGAAAATAATTCTGACTAGATTTAAGAAAAAAAATCTTAAGCTAAATAAAATTGGATGCAATCTCATTAAAATCACTTATAATTTACCTTAAATTAAATCATGGTATACTTGTAATGAGAGTTCTGGGTCAAACCCGAATCTAAACCTTTGGATCCGCTTTGGGGATTTTTTCATAACCTTTTAAAATTAAAAAATTATAAAGACTAGTTATTTTAGAGACCTAAAAATATATAATTTTTAAACCTAGCTAGGTTTTTAAATTTTTTCATTTTAAAACCACCTTAACTTCTTATTTCCAAGCCCGTCTCGGATTATACGGCCTGCTTGGAGCTGGTCTCCGTATGTAGGTCTTTGATTTATATATATAATCAAGTAATTTTAGAAACTTAAAAATTAAGCATATATATATATATATATAGAAAAAGAAAACTAAAAAAAAATTCTAATAATCTCTAAAAATTAAATCCTATCCCCGACCTCGTCTCAAAACCTTTGAATATCCATTCTGATGATTCTAAGTTTCTCTTCAGCCATAGCGATAAAAACAAGCAGGACTCAAAATTTCTAGCGAAGGCATTTTATCAATTAAAATCACTCCGCAAAACATCTCAATCTAAGCGCAAGCGCTTAAGCTAACTCGAGTAACAGCAACGAAAATCAATATCAATATGAATTTAAAAATCCTTAGAATTTCTCTTGTCATCCATTAATTACTAAAATAAATAATAATTTTCAACAACTTAAAATTATTTATTTTTCTTTGTTAGCGTTCTTTCTCATTTTTTTAAAAAATACATATGTCAAATTCTTTTTTTTAAAAGAGTTTTATTTATTTATCTTATTCCCCCTTTTTTTAAAAGCAATAACACAGAAAATTTGATTTTTTTTTCTCTTTCATGTTTCTTAATTAAATTGAAAGTTAAAATTTTCTTTTCTTTGTTTTAGTTATTTACTAAAAACAGTGGCGTAGCTAGGAATTTTCCTTAGAGGGGGTCCATACATATAAAAGCCTGGGGAGGGGGCGTTTAATGGGTCTTCGGCCCTTTTGCCAGGCCTTTGGCAGGGTTTATCTTACAAATCATAACCATGTCTTCGATAATATATAATAAAATAAATTTTTATGCATCAATAATTTGTTTTATAATTTAGTAGATAATTCTCAATGACTTTATAATAATAGTATCCTGATTAATTTCAATAGTAATATAATATCCTTCCACAAACATTAAAACCAGAAAAATATAAATATTATTGGTATTTATTTGATATAAAGTCACCACTTATAAGTCTTTTGAACGTATAATCTAAAAATAAATTTTTGCTCTGGGAGGGGTCCAAACCCGAAAACCACCCCCGTAGCTAGGCCACTGACTAAAAAAATAAAAATTCTTTCCTATCCCACCTTGCCCCCCTCTCCCCTGTAAGTATAAATGTCTCCTACTATACCTATCCCAATCTGAAACAAATGTCCAAACTGTGGGGTACCTAATCAACGAAAACGGGACCCTAAGGACGCACGGTAAAAGTAGCAAGGTATCATTTATCACACCTTTCACAGATCCTATCACCCCTCTATTTTTTCTATTACATCTAACATTAATATCTTTTTCGTATGTCCCAGCTCTCACAACAATTAATTTATCTGTTAATGAGGCCTTACAACTTCCTATACCAACACCCTCCTTATCCGATGAGTTTACAACCTAAATCACATATTATCTCAAGAACCCCCCAAGGAGCCATGTTTCTTACTGCTAAATCATATAGGAAACTATTAATAACCTTATGGCCAATTTTAGCTCCCCACAGCACTGGAAAGAGTTTTTTTTATTTGGCATCCATGCCTTTCAAGTCCCAACTGATCAAAACAATTTGTCCCTCACCCAACAAATTAAGAACAGGTTAAATGATTTAGACAACATTTTAATGGACACAACTTTTACACCGAAGTTATCCATAAATCCTTTTAAGATAAAAGGGTAAATTTAGTGAAAAAAAACGATTTTAGATATCGTCTGGCCTCTTCATCAGACACACTAATATTTTATTTTGATATTTCGCGTCTATATCCACATGAAAATCTTGTATTAGTCTTTAACTTAACTATAGAATATTAGTAATTGAGCGTTTATAACTTAAAATTCAAGTATTATAGATTTCTCATTTATGACCAAGGAATATTATTACTCGTATGTTTTTTTAAAATATTTTGAAGTATAGAGAATATTAATTAATTTACCAATATTGAGCTTTAGCTCTAAATCTAAATTAATTCAGTCAAAGTGAAATTATATATTTTGATATAATGTTTATTATATTAAAAGTAAATAAAGAGGACTTTAATACATTATTTATGTACAAACATTTATATTTTATTAAATTGTTATTTGAGATAAAAATTTTGGATGCACTGAGACTTAAAAGTTATGGTGTAACCCATATAAAGAGTAACTTTATATTTGAAGGCCAAAATATCAAATATAGAAAGCTGAGTTTAAAAATTACAAATTTCGCCAAAATTATTGCAGGTAGTGTTGTTAATTTGAGCCGATTTTTAAAAAAGGCGAATTCAATATTTTATCTAGAATAATATTACGCAAGCCTGAAGATTTTGTTTATAGAAGGAACAAAGGTTTGGACATATATTAGCGAAATCTATAGGCTTAGGAAATATTTTTCTGACTAAAATATTGAGTTAAACGTTTTTAAAAATCGGCTCAAAGCGAATTAACAACAATAATTGCTGGCATATCAATTTTTTAATGGGGCTTCTAAAATACCTTTGACTGTTAAAACAAGATGGAACAGTGTATATCTTATAATAAGAATCAATAAGGTATAAAATTAAAATCTGTAAATTTATTATCCTTTAATAATTTTTTATATTTATTTACAATATCAACGCAATATTACACCTTAGCGAGCTTGGGTTAATTGAAACCAATTTGGCTCCTGACAATTTGAATTCTATTACTATAGAAATAGGCTCACAATCTCCAACAATAGAGTTGGTAATATTATATTAGAATGATATTATGCATAATTTGAAAAATCAGGAGATCGGGAATTCATATGCTTCAATAAGAGAAGCAAGTGTTGAAACAAGATTATAGCCAACATATAATAACATCTAACAACTATGCTGCATTAAACTAGATACTAGGATTAAAAATACACTAATCGCTAATTTAAAGGAAGATGCAAATATGGCTATACTAAGATATTTATGCAAAATATATCATGGAACCATTAAATAAGTACTAATAATAATAACAACC